CGTTTACAATATTTGTAACTATTTGTAATTTGCAACTAAATAAAACAGTATAATGATAATAATAACAAGACTGTGGATGTTGTACATTTATAGTATGTATAAACGTACAAAGTACAAAACAGTAAAAATAATATTAAAAAAAATACAGAAAATTAATCTATATAACAATACAACTTTTGCAAATTTCTTCATTAAAAATGTATATTTCCATTAAAATCTACTGTCGAATTTTAATTTTTAGATTTTTGAACGTTGTATTTAGATTGTAGGATTTTCGAAGTTTAGAAATATGAATACATAAAAACGGTATCTACCGAGAATTGCATATATATTACGATGTTATTATTATCATTACTGTAAAATAAATTTACATACTCATCATAATCAAGCAATTCAATTTTCAGAATTACTGTGTAGCTTCCACAGTATTCTTGCAAAATTTGTTTAAATAACTCAAGGAGATCCAATTTTCTTTCCTAACGTATAAATATTGCTCGTTGACGGTTTTCTTCGACATGGCTTCTGCTCTTTAATAATAATTAAACTGCTGAACTTCATGCATTTATAGAATATAAAATTCTTCATAAATTATATAGTTAAATACAAACATTAATTCTCTATGTCCTGAAAGTACTTTACAACATCATTTTCATGAAATATTGCTATAAACTGTAGACATTTAGATTTTTAAACGACACAACACTTGTGAAATATTTAAATCAAATGTCGAAATGAAAAATAGGAATGGCATAATTTAGGACACAGAGCATTAATCAAATTTAATACTCTTTCACTTTGATTTCACTTATCGAATCTATTCAGAAAATAAAATAGATTTTGTTTAGTATTAGTTTTTTTAAAGTACTTTACGGTGAACAAAATATTTATATCCAGTTCTGCATTTGAATAATAACGAATTCTTCGTGAAAATATTGCCGTCGTGAAAAGGTCCAAACTAATACAAACTTAAGTGCTGTTCACTTGAATAGCCTCTGTCTTTTACATAAGTAGATATATTATAGGTAATGGAAAAAAAGTTTCTGACTTTATATTCATGAAGTACTTATTACACATAAAATTGAAAATTTCCGTATGTTCATTTTAGACGAGGTTATGGATAAAGACCAATAAAATCCATGTTGTATGTGTATTTAAGTAATGCGTATATTTATCATAAATATACATAAATAATCTTACTCTAAGAAATAATCACAAATATGTTTAAACATAAAACTTTCCATTGATTAATGTGTGATATGTTTCTTTCTAATTATTATAACATTGAAAATTCGATTGTTATTCGATGACATTAATAAAATCAGAATAACTTTTACATTATTTCTACGAAACGATCCACATACATTGTTTGTAATATTTAAAACTGAATTTTGGAACTTAAATAAATTTACAAAGAAATTCACATCACAAAATTGTCGTGTTTCACGCAAACATCCACGATAATATAAACTAATGCTATCCATTGGTCTATATATATTAAACGTATAACATAAAATATTAATATTGCATATATTTTACTTCTTCAATTTAACACTAGGTTTACAGATATATATTGTAAAGTTTATTCTATTATCTCTAGACACAACCGTGTTCGTTCATTTAGATTTTGGAAAATGGAGGTTTAAAGATACACTATTAGAATGCACATTTGCATCAGTTAAAATCGTCGTAAACGTTTACCAACTAATGTTTATAAAGTTCAGTCTGTGTTAAATAAACTGTATTAAATAAACCGTAAACCTAGTGTTAACATTTTGAAACTTACAAAAGTGAGGCTGTTCAAGTGAACAGATCACATCGAAACACTAATAAAATGTACCAGCATGGAACAACGATTGAAGAAAAATAATACGTTATAATAACATTAAAACTCAAAGAATCGAAAACCTCAAGCGCACACCACGTTTCAGCCGTTCAAGCATCGTTCTGGCTCTCAGAAGAAAGATTCACTGCTAGAAGATCGATTTAAGTTGTCGTTTCTCACTAAACAACAGAAACTGTCCATTTTTTATCGTAGACTCGACGTTATTCACTATAAGCCGTAGAGTATTTATCCCTATAATTCCATGACCGTATACTTAGTCAGCAACGAAAGTATTCGAACAGCATGATAAGAAATAAATTATCATTAAAAAGATTCTACACCGTATATTGCTATTTATTGTTAGAAGTTACATAATTGCCGAGAGGTTATGTATAATTTCTGGATTAATCAAATTTATATATATGTTACATAACATGTTATATAATGTAAATTCGATTAATCCAGAAATTATACACATATATATGAAATTTAGTACTATTGTTTCTAATGCTAATTAATTCTAATACTAAAAAATACCAACTTAGTATGATATATAATTATACATATGCAATGAAATTTAGAAAATATTTAGCAGTATACAAACAAAGTATGGAAGATTTATTGTGTCTAAACATACACAATGCTCGAATACATTTATTGCTGACTGTACGTATATTTATATATTACCTATACAGAAAATTGAAGACTTACGTTCTGGAATGATGCCCGATAAGAGTAAAACATGTCCATGCGGGATTCTTGTTCAGGCATGAAATTGTTATCGATTCTTCCCGATCGAACTGGAGTATCGTTCCCACAAAGTGACACGATGTGAACACACAGCAGACGTTCTCTGTAGTTTCCATTCGATCGAATTTAAAAACGAAGTCCTGAGCGCCTCTCCAGCTTGACACGTGGATGTCTTATCAACTTGTAATCATTCCATTGCATATTATACATAATTAAGGTTTAGTACTACAGTGTACTGTTAATCCATAGAAGTTATTATTATATTATAATTATTATGTAATAAATATTGTTGTTAACATAAAGCCTGTTTCGGATAAATTATCTTTTCTTTTTTTTCATTTCTGAGCGTGTCGAAATAATAATACGTGTATCTAATTGTGATATAGATGTAATTTCTTATATACACTTGTTCTGAGTCGTCAGGATTTTTTTCACTTTTCCTTGAATTTTTAACACCTGAAATTATTATAGATCATTGTTGATAGGACGATAAATATGGCGTCAAATGAACAAAATTATATTCATGTATTTTATGTAAAAAGTTGAAAATTAGTTGCTTCAGTTACTCGGTAGGTGTAGTAATGAAGTTTCACGGTTTCCGTGTTGTTTGAAAGAAATAAAAAGAATATTTTAAAACAAAAATTTTCCAAGCAGAAGAGTGCAATTGCAGTGCAAATGCAGAAAGAATACAATTTGCTCTATCAGAAAACCAATCTCCATGGGGTTGTCGATGCAATATTATTTATTATAGTAATACAATAAAAATATATTATTTAAAAAGCTTAATTATTTAAATCATTTATGATCAATAATTTCAAGTTTTCACCGAATTACATTTAAGATTGGTTCGAAGGAAAAGAATTCATTAACTGCATTTTTCGAATTTTTTAAATTATTTAAATGGGTTAAAGATTGAGATACAATTATGTAATTCATGAAATTGGATTTAAATACTATATAATATATTGATCTCAATGTTTAGAATTCATTACAACACTTTCGTTTTTACTCACTTTTCGAACTTCGAAGTGTTAAGAAAACCAGAGATTACAGTTGTATCATTTATCTATAGATACACTAGCTATAATTATAGGTAACGTACTTTCTTACAAATATATGATTAAACGTATAGCATACAAATGTCGTTGCACTACCAGAATAGATTATAAAAATAAAAGATAAAAGAGTCAGATTTATAGATCGAAATTAGTATTGTGTTATTAAGTATCTAGGGAAAAACAAGATAAATATTATATTTGAAATTCTTATATTCGTTTATTTTAATCATAATTTGTAATATTTACAGTTTTTATAATAAAATAAACATAAAAATCCAATAAACTAATGTTGTTTAGTTTGTGTAGATTTACTTCCCTTAAGAGAAGATTAATTATTCGATATGGATATCAACACAGGTAAGACAAGAATATTGTTTATTTATTGAAACAATCGTTAAACTTTACTTTTCATGTCGAAGTTGTTTTTAATATCTATCATATTTCCTTTAACAAATAATAATACAAATCAGGAGATTCATTCAATTCTCAAATACAATTACAATAATAAATAGTTTATTCATTTGACAAATTACATTTAACCAATTTGTCATTTGCCAAACTCAATTCTCTTTTGACAACTTATATAAATGTGTTCATACAGTTTGTACAGAAATAACATATTCTTATAATATCGACGTCAGTCTAATTAATACACGGTCTCTTTACAAAATATACAATAAATGTGAAAAATAATCACTTAGTAATTAATTCCAATAGAACGTCGAATAATTTCATTTATGAATAATTTAGAAAATAATAGAAAGTTTGAATCTATTACAAAAATACTAATAAATACTTTGGAACTGACGGAAATGTTGCATAATAAGAATACGCAACATTTATAGGTACAAAATAACATACAAAATAGGACAAGTTCTTTCATATTATAATGAAAAAATGGACATATAAAAAGAGAGCTGTGGAAATTGATTTGCTCTCCATCACGAAGAAACTAAACTTTGATACATTTTCAGATCAACATGGTTCGTTAAACTACGTTTCGTCAATTTAGCAAATGATATCTTACAACAATGAAGGATTTCTGATTGCTAGCAATTAATTCACCGCATCCGAGGATTAGATGAGCATTACATTGGATTATTTGTCAGGAATGGGCAAACCATTACACGAAATTGTTGCGATGAAAAAAGTGAAAGTTCTTAGATCACAGAAATACAAAGCAATATGCAATGTGCGCATTAATAGCTACCGATGTCATGATCAAATGGAATGCGAGGTTCACGGAAGGTTGCGTAGAAAAATAGTTTATTACGTAAGAACTAAATTAACAATGTACAAAGAAATAACAGACACAAACGTAACATACAATGTTTACAACTAATTAGAGATAGGCTACTCTATGATTATGTTGATTACTTGCTTCAGTAAGCTCAATACTGGCGGTAGGACGATCGCTTCCGATTTGTCGGACGTTGGCTTTTTCCGGGAAGACCGAGGGCGTATGGTTTGTGTGCGTTTGTTGACAGATAATAAATGCCTCGAGCTCTACAAATTTCAACAAAATTTCATGCTTGACATTTGAACTGTCGTTGCTGGTGTACATAAAAAGTTTACATAAATAGGTAAATTAATATGCGCCTTTAATTTCAAAATTTTCAACTTTTAATCGCTATAATTACTTATTAATTAAAAGTATGCTAACATATACCTCTCTGTTTAGAAACGGAATTTATTTTTTAAATAATTTTCATTAAATGAAAATATACCAATGCATTACAGTGATACGTATTAATATATTCATACATATGATACGTGTTGATATAATTTTAAATTGCATTATTTATATTAATCAAAATATACTATCTTCGTTCTAGGTATATTATAATTATAACTGATTTTTTTTTAAACAACATAAAATTAATCGTTTTCACATAAAATAATTTATGTTATTCTTGTTTTTTTACTGTTACCTGTATCCGAGATCTATTTATATTTACATTTAAACATGTGGAATTCATTTTCTATTGAGTTATTGAATGATATATTATTATATTATCATTGAAAGTATCTATATATAATCTCTAGAAGAAATTACGTACGTATGAGGCGCGTCTTCTCCCATCAGAATATATTCCTCCAGTTGGGGTTTGCACCATCCGATCAGGTAGGAAAAAAGGTTTCCGCATGGAGCCGCCCAGAATCCTACTTTTGTCGTAATCGATTCTATGTAATACGGCGTAACCTTTGTGTGATCGCACGACAACGTCTCTGCGGATAAACGTTCCATCAATTTTCTTTACAGTTAACCAATTTTTTCGTTTTCATATCACAAATGAACAAGTCCACATCTATTTCTGTCCTATATATTTTTATTTGTCTCCTCGTAAAATGGAGAAAATGTATTTCGTAAGTAAAATGAATAATGAAATGTTACAAAGATTTATACACACGATGAAGATTTCAAGTAGAATTTATCAAACATAAGTATTATTTCGTTATTTTCAATTCATATTAAATATTATTTTTCTGTTGTCAATTATTATACTTTAGAGTAAATAAGCAATTTAACCCTTAAGTATGAAAGTCTGAAAATTACCGATTACTGTTAAATTTCTCGTTTGTAGCAACCAATAAAAAGATTTATTGTATTCATTTGTTTTTACTTATTTAAATATCTTCATATAGCAATAGTATAAACTACACAACGTAAATTTCACTGGTTTAAAAATCAACGATATTTTGTATAGACCTCTGCGAGACCGCAGTTCCATACTTAAAAATTAACACATTGTGCGCCGGTTAAATATCAATCGATGAAAATCTGAATGCCGACTTCAGTTGTTTATCTCTAAAGAATGAGCAGTTAAAGAAAATATTAAAAACCTTATATATTATAGAAAAAAATACGTGCGTTTTGTTTCTTGAAGAAAGACAAATGTAGAAAGAAATAAACAATGGCAAGTACAGTTGAAAGATCGCTTGATGGCGAGGCTGAGGAACGTCGCTGATCGATTATCTTTTCATCTTTTCTCATTTTTTCTAATTTTCTGATGGTCTCACTTCCTAATTACTAATATTTCCGACCGCTAATTTACTATTCGTCAACATGGTTAAACGTAATCAACCGAAATTATAAAACTTTAAACTAGAAAGGCACCTTTTGCACCTGTGTCGTTCTGCTGAATATCAATTCATCTTCCAACTGTAAGAGTACGGATGCTGATGATTGTACTTACGGAGCAAAGAAGTAGTTGCGCAACCGGGCTGACTGGAACCACCGTTCACGTAGAAATCCGCGTGTCCAGTCGGCCCCCATTGACCCAAAATACCGGCACCTGTGTGAATCACGTCGACGAAATGCGCATCCGTTTCGTCCAAATCCATCGACCGATTTCCGTTCATGTAAAAAAATATAGTCGGATCGAGCCCTATCGAGAACAAACAAAATAATCGTTCGTTAAGTTAAATTACCATTTACAAATGATATTTATACAATATCGCGCTTGATTTTATCTCTTAACCCTTTCGTTACCAACGTCACATAGATTAATTCCGGAGGAGATAGTCATATTTTCTTTAAAACGCATTCAAATGAAAATTGAAAGAATTAGAACCGCAGTTTCGATTGTTAAATAAACTTTAATTATTTTCTCATGGAATAATCAAGAAAAATTAAAATCACAAATGAGAAAACATCAGTTGTAGTGGCGCCCAGATTTTCTTGTCTGAGCCTGACGTTACAGAGATACACTTTTTCTAAGTAACTGCGAATTTAGAAGAAATATGTCGTGAAGGTACGAGGATATGGAAAATTCATTGCTGTTGCCAATGCGAGAAAGGTGTAAACCAGGAGTGTCCAACCTTTTAGCTTCCCTGGGCTTCATTGTTAAATAACTTTCCCTTTCCTTCTGAAAACTTTAACGTTTAGCGTTTTCTTCCTTCTTCTACACGTACTCTTTAATTTGGTACGCTTTACGTTTTCTTTTCTTTTCCTTTTCCCCTGGATAACCCGCTTCATAGCGTGAGATCTTTACTCGCTAAAGCTCCAGAGATGTTCTATCCTCTGCTTTAACGGAGGGTGCCCCAATACCAAGCAAAGACCCTTATAACGATCTCTGCGGCCAAATATATGCCAACACGACACGCTAGTGCGCAACACTAACAGCATGGAAAAACTTCGTGCAGCACATAAATTAGTAGCATGTTTAACTTGTATTTGTAGTATTCACGGCATTCACGGCCGTTTTGAGCCGCATGCGACCCTCGGCCCGCGGGTTGGACAAGCCTGGTGTAAACCATTTTTGTAAACAGTACCCTAATCATAATACTGCGGATTTGATGCATTTCTATCGTTCGCAACTATCTAAAATTCTCAAGTTTTGAATATATTAGATATGTTATATAACGTATAAGTAACGTAAAAATAACGAATAAATCCAATTCATTTAATATGTGTGACTGGCGAATACATTAATTATTATTCCTTATTCGAAAATTCAAATCAGATTCAATTTATTCGTCATTCTTTATTCGTTATTCTGAATAACTTTCACCCAACGCTGGTTCGTAGTACAAATAAAATGTAAGATTACGGAGTTACATACACCTAGGAAAGATGAAAGTCAAATTATACTTGGGACTTTTGGAAAAGGCATATTAACATGTAAATACATGATACGCACATGAAAAGAAAAGTCATGGATGTACTTTCCTATCATATTTCCTAATATTTTTATTTTATATTGTATTATAACAAAATTTTACAGTTTATAATGACAAATGTGAAATGATTCTGTTGCGGAGCGTTCGAGTTTAAAGAGTTAATTCACACAGACGCGTTGTTGAGAAATCAAATTTTTGGGCTTACCCAGGTGTATGTAAACATGTAACGATCAAACTATTAAATAGCACACATTACCTGTAATTCTTCCAAGTTTGTCATCGGGCAAATAATTCGCGATGAGGCCACCTATATGCGCACCGACGCTGTATCCAAGCACGTGTATATTCTCCACCCTCGTACCGCGAGGATGATCCCTCAAGTACCTTACCAATTGAGCAACACATCGAGCACAGAAATCCGGACCCCACTGTATCTGCGATAGACACGGCTCACGTACCAAGGTACCATAATCGACGATTATAATATTGTAATAGCCTCGCGTGAAATACGCTGAAATTGAAAGTTTCATACATCGAGGGATGAGCACGCCAGATTACCCTGGCAGGAAAGAAATGAATATTCATGCCTGCGACTACTGTGAAATCGCGATCAAAATATGCCAATTTGAACACTAAAAATTATAACCTTTCTAGCTGTAGTCATTTAGCTGTAGTCACAATCTTTCTCTTCGGATTCGATTCTTTGAGATTATCGGTGTGAAATGTTGAAAACGTTTTCCCCGATTTTATTATGTTAGTTGTATTATAATATTTTTCAGGAGACAGTTCCTTTAACTATCAATGAGATGCAAGTGTATTGACTTTCTCCATGCTTATTGGTTTCGTTATAAAATATACTTGTGTAAGATTTGACATTATCACAAGTGCATTTTTTTTTCAATTTTTATAATTATTGAATTACACAGGAGTATGAAAGTCCTTAAAAAGGAGTATGAAATAAAGAAGTTTATTTTCTCAGAATTCTAAGAAACTCTCGTGCCCCTCGTCCCCGATTGGTTAATTAGTTTCTAAATTAATACGATTTCCGCGAGCGAGTGTAAGGAATTGTTTGATAAAAATTACCTTTCCGAAGATCTGGACTAGGTATTAAGTTCCTCCCTCCGCCGAAACCATGAATAATAATTTTCGTGGGATGCGATCTGTTAAATCTGGAATAATGAAGGGATTCGAATCTTCGAACGTCTAAGCGAAAAGGTTTCTTTTGTGTGTCTCTGAAAAAAAGCGATTAAATACGAACATTACTGCCGATAGAAAGTTGCATTCTCCTCTCTGATTATCTCTTCAATGAAACAGCAAGTGTTCATACCACTGAATACGGTGCATGTTCATTGTCATTGTGTTCATTATATTCGTACAGTGAAGTCTTCAAAACGAAATTCGACGTCATCAGTGCATTTACCTTTTACACTGATACAAGCACTTTTGATTAATATGTAAAGAAGTTATTAAAAATTATCGTGTATCAATTAACACGTTCGCGACCAGCATTTGTTTCAGTAGTAGTCTTCACAGTTACAATATTTTATTGAATAGGGGAGAATGAGGTAATCTCGGTTAGCTGTCAACAATGGTCAGTATTATTATTAAAAAGTGATACATCTGAAATTTCTAATTTTTCATTAAATAAATGCCACATGTTCTTCCAATTTCGTAATATTTTTGAAGGATATGTATGCGAAAAGTGTTACGGTCCTCAGATTATCATTGCTTACAAAGTGACTGCTATTACCAGTAGATATGAGTAACGATGGTCAAGAACATTTTTTTTTTATTTTTACAAATGTTATTATTTAAATGAATGTAAAACTATTTTTTTGTATTGTACTAGTTGAGAAATAATTTAAGTTTATGAAACACTCGTTTAAATAAATATTTTACCCCATATTTGCATTTTATTGTAGTTGTTGCTTAAGTGATTGTAATTACCCCACTCTTGTACCATTACCCTACAACATATGGCTTTTATAAAATGCAAATAAAATACAAGAAAAAAATCGCGTCAACTGTTCGCACTTTTACATCATGCTTAACAAGTTTAGATACAAACATACGTGAAAATAATTTTATTTATTTATGTAAAATACAAAATGTTGATTGTTACATATATGTAATGCTGATCGCGAAAGTACTAATTACATAACTTACATAACCTATTAAAATTATACAGCTTATTTAATAACTTCTTACATATCTTTACTTCAATATATAGAACAGTGTGCTGCAAATAACGTATAATAATTAATCGAATAGTGTTTCGTGAATGAAATATATCATTCGATCAACAATTTATATATTTCTGTACCTGTATTCAATGATTTAATATTTATTTGTTTAATATAATGTGTTCCTCTCCAAATTTATAAATATTATTTAATTATTCACAGATAATTTATTTACTGAAGAGTAATCAAATAAACTCTTTGAATAAAATTATATAGTACTATATCAAAAAATAATAATATTACTGTTATATTTTATGAAACATGGTATTACTCGACTGAGTATTAATTTATTAGTAACGATAAATAAAATTGTACTTGTTATTCTTATTTCTATCCCATATTTGAAAAAAATTTTGCCTAACACTGGTATCAGCTTTTATTGAAATCAAAAGAAATTATTTATTTGAAAGGAAATCCGAATTTCCGGAGACATTTAATTATTAGGATGAAGTGGTATTTGATGTAAGTTTAATTGTGCCATTTAGATTCGCAGCTTATCTATAATGAATATAATTACGGCGAAAGTAAAAGTAATTACGAACCTGAAACGAAGTTAACAGGAATGTATTTCACTCTGCGAGAGTCTTAGATGAAAACATGAACAGTTCAAAGATAATTTAAATCAACTAACAAATAACATTATTTTCTAAAAACTATAAATTGTAATACTTTTTAAACTTTATTTATTCCTCTTTTTTGTAATAATGATTACTACAAGAAATAATTCGTTGTTCCATAATGATATTGGCAGTAGTATAAAGTATTACATTTTTACTTTATACTCAGCTTATATATCACAATGTAATGTATAGAATTAAGTGCATGTTAATTTTATAAGTATATTAAACTAACAATAAATTAAGAAACATATTTTAAGTATATTAGATATGATAACTAGACTGCAGGTATATATATACCTACAAACATATATTATTATAAATTAACTTATAATAGTAAATATAAAATTAAATAGAGATTTCTATAATCTATTACGTTATGTGTAGAAATCATAGAATACCTTTCCATTTAATCAAGTGTAAATCTATTTGTGGATTTAATTAATTTCATTTAGAAAATGGAGTAAAATCATAAAAAATAATGGCGATCACTTCGAGGTTAAATTCACTTCGATGATACATTGAAAGGTATCACATTCATTTCTACTTTTAATAAACTCCGTCGAAAATAGATTAATATAAAAATCCCATTGAATTTGAATAATATTCATACTACAATCGATATTGATCAATTATACGCGCTGTAAATGCATTAAATCCGCAGTCTAACGACAACATTCGTACACCCTTACTTTTTCACTTTCCCATTTTCGATGATGGGTACCTATTTTCTTGGTAAAATATATGAAAAAGATAAATACTTACATTTCAGCTACCTTGGAAAAGTATATTTCCTGTTTAAGGTTAAAATAAATGGTATTATGTGTTCGATCATATTATCTATCCTCTGTACGTTCACTGTTTAAATATTTTGTTCAGTTGAGCAGTTTAATCGTTTAAAATATCGAATACATTAAAATGTGCATATTGTACTATCAATATGTTAGTTTTGCACACAAATGTATTAAGAAACGATTAAGTGTACAAATATTTCACCGGCCCACCGTATAGATTCACGTTCCAAAAATAGAGCTTCGGTAATACTTGATTTATTTGAAACGGTCACTTTCAATGGACTGCATTTCCAGGAGAAAGATGACCAGCCGAACGAAGAAAGGAAAGGTGAGCGAACAGACAGGTAAAAGTACCCAAGGCACGCCAAAGCGTCGGGACTATAGCTATCGGAGAAAGGTGAGCCTCGAAACGAGGCCGCTTTCAGTATAAGGTAAAATGATCATGATCTTGAAACCGAGAGTCTTACGTCGAGGTTCTTCCTAGCGGCGTTCTAGTTAGTCGTGAACCTTCTCGAACGACGAAGGAAAGTAAGGAACCGCGTCGGAATGACGCAAAATGGAAACCTCCGAAAGTTGAGGTGTCGAACGGGTTGCGTGTGGTACTTTTACGCGACACTATCTCGATGAAGTGATATATGGATTGTATCACACAGCGGTGCATGAGAATATTGGCATGTTAAGATACACAGTTTACAGCTATGCAACGAATTAAATATTAAAAGCACATTCTTTGATATTCCACTTTGAAATTTGGAAACATTATTTTGAAATCTTGAAGCGTATCTTTCGACGTTCTATTTTGACATTTGGAAGTACATTTTTTGACGCTTTATTTTAAAATTTGATGGCATATTTTTTACGTTTTATTTTGAAATTTGGAAACATACGTTTTGATATTTTACTTTAAAATTTGCTACCATATTCTTTAAAAATATTCTAGCATGTTACTACTATTTTACTTCACGTGTAATTTAAATGACGTTTAACCGAACACAGATATGAGTTCAGAACTTACCTTGTGTATAAATAAAATTCAATTTGTGGGTGTGGACACTCGAACGGCGGCTTTGCGCAGGACGTACTGTTGAAGAGATCCCTAAACGTTTTGGTCTCCGCACTTGCACCGTCTACGAAGAAACAGAATTCATTAATAAACTTTAGCTTTTATGTACACTGTTGGTCAAAAATTCGGGACCAATAGATCGGTTAAAAGAAAAACTTCCATTTTTTGTAAATAACTTTTATTGGAGAATTTTTCTGTATGATAAAGGAACATGGACGTATGTGCGTTAGTCAAATATAAAGATATATAATTGTTGTTATTATTATTTCATATATTTATAAAATATATAATTTTTAATGTGTGACGTTAGATATCAAGTGGTTCCAAACTTTTGACCGACAGTGTATTTAGTGTAGGAACTAGGAATCTAGTAGGTAAAATAGAACACGGTTAGGTTAGGATGCAGTGTCGTCAGAGAGGGTCAACGCTTTGACCGCCACCGCCAAATTACTTGAAAATAATTACAAGGAGGAAACTGATATCCGATCTAAGTATTTAGTTACGAAGGTAACTTAAGATCTATGATACTAAATCATAGCTAATTAATCCTAATACTATTTGCGCTTGATAAGATGCGAGAAATAATGTAATACGAAACGCTCTAAATACTCGAGACGGTCAACGTGTTAATGTAATTCGGTATTAGAAAAAATGGTCGATCGGCGTTCTCGATCATTCTCTCGCCGGCGTGCAATCATAAAGGAAAGATCTCTGTAAAGTATAAGAAAATTAAAAATCTCGGCTAGTCTTGATAATTAGTTGCGTTTCACTGTAAATTAAAGCGAAAACCCCCGTGTAATATTAAATAAACAATTGTGCCTTACTGTTATCGGTTAGTGCGACATAGAAGTACGCTGTGTGGTGTTAACGTAGATACAGTAGACACAATTATCTAAAACTCACTATGATAAAAAATACAATACAATGTAATCGGACTTTTATTTTAAGGCTGAAAAGCCTTAACAACTTTTGAAGCACAATTTGATATTTAATATTTTATTAAAAATGTATGAAAAATGAACAAAATAAATAGTACTTCATTATAAATCCTCGAACCACGCGAAATATATCATTTCTAATGATGAAGCTTGTTTTTAAATTCTACTCGGTTCACAGAAATATTAGTAATCCACTAATTAACGTTATTCTGACACTTAGTTTCCTCTACAAACGATCATTCCTTTCTTATAAAATCGCTTTTACGTTCCGATTAACTGCAGACAATCGATGTTACGCCAGTTTCGCGCTAAAATCTACTCAACCGTTGTGAGAAACTAGGAAAATGGGTGAAGGTCGTCCATCACGCTGTCATTCAGGTCGCTGTTTTTTGTTTATTTTTTACACTGGCACTATAGGAATTATGCGAAGATAAGCGTCCTACTGCATCCTGAGAGGAAGGCAACAGTTTCTTTACGCTCTACGTTACGCAGTGTGCGTGTCAATAACTAATGAATGCAAATACACAGAAAGGTATTTGATCGTTTGTTCCATGACCAATGAACTTAACACTTTTAGTGAAACGTTATGCGACTGGATGCTTTAAATTTGTACGGTTACAGGTATATATTTAATACGTAATAATTTGTAATAATTTTAGTATTATACTGAACCTTGTATAGATGCCTATTTCATTGTTCTTCTTATATATGCTTACCTTCATAAGTACATTTCTTTTAAGCTATCAATAATTTTCATGATGTAATAGTGGCTTTTAAAAAAGTGGGCCATTTCTCTCTAATTTACCCTACTATGAAAAAAACAAGCATAGTAGTTTTTATTTTAATAAATATCTAACTTTAAAAGATGGCAATTATCATTGGTAGTAAAAGCAGTTGTCTGTCTGTGCATTCACACAAGAGATTATTTCACGTGGAAACATCAATTTTCAGGGAGGAATGAATTTCTTTTGTTCCATCTTCCTTTCGAGAAAGTTAGATTTGAACCATACAGTTTTTCAAGAAACCTAGTACATTCTTATTAAGGTTTCTTACAAGTCTGCAATGTCTGAACTAATTATAAATCCGAACTTTCAAAATATCGAAGTGTGTTTATTATGAGTAGGCTCTTGATCTTTGTGCAAACTAAAAGGTTCTTGGTGATTGGCGTTTATTTCAAGCAAACCGTTATTTTATGAGCAGTGTGCTCAGTTGCAATCACTATTGAAAACTTCTTTTTGTATCTGTGAGGAGAAAACTGATAAACTTTCATTGCGGTGCCAGTCATAAAGTTTTACGAAGAATTCAAAAAATTTGACAAGTTAACAAAACTACCATGTGTTTTGAATCAAATTTCGCACTTCAAATTATAGTTTCGTTAAAAACTAAATATCATCAGAATTGCAAATACTATAATTATTAATTCTTTCAAATACTTTTGTTTATTTTGTAATTTTCAACAAATAAGAACTAATATAAATTTTCTTTATTAATTCAACATGATATTATTATAATTATTCCTTTGTTTCTTTATTTTTTTAACAGAAATGAGACTATGAATTCTGAGTTTTAAAATGTTCTGCTATAAGCTTATAAGTAAATAATCGTCATTTTAATCGTAGTTTTAACATCATCCGCATATGAACTTAACGTTGGAATTAGCAATTTATAGTTGTATATTATTCAAATTGTTCTGCGAAACTAAATATTTATAATGAATGATTTATATGATAAGAATTATTCAGCCATACAATTATATATTATACAAAGCAAACCGTTTTATCTACTTATCTTAGCAATTCTTATTCAAGTGCAAGTTCGAAGAAATAGCCACTGATTCGTTATATGTTTCTCTGATACATGTATCTAACGCCTTTCTCCGCGCACGTGGCAAGCTTATTTATTTCGTATCAATGGTCAATGTACTAAAGAGTAATATAGCTTTCAGAGAATGCAGAAAGAAAAGAAAGAGAATATTTAAAATATATTCTATATATAAAAGTATATATAGAAAGAAAGAAAGAAAAATTAGTTGGAAAACTACTATAAAACTAATTATACAATAATATGTACATAGACAATAACATTAATGTGACACTTCGTGAAACTAACGAAATATACACATAAGAGACACTACAAATAAGGCAAACCCACTTTTGATAATTTTATTATTCCGTTAAATGATAACTGATTACCTGCGCAAAAAACGTTGGATATTTATGTGAACAATATAACAAGAGTTTATTATAAACTCTAGTTCATTTATTCATTTACTGTTTAGTTGGTAGCGTGTTTAGCACTTATGTATTTACTGCTTTAAGTTATTATTTTAAGTTTATTATTTAAGCACTATCAGAATCACTTGCGTATCCACTGCGCATAGAAATAAAACTATCTGTATTATTCTAACACGAGTCTGCACTATTCACTTTGCTGCTACACCTTCACTGTAATTTTATCCACTAAGTCCACAAAACAAAGTTAAGTCTTATTTTCATTATTACTCACAGACGTTTTCAACGTTATATACAACTTCGGGACACGTATACTATATACATATAGACAATCAATCGTCTAAAATTAACACGAAAAATTACGCAAAAGTTGCTCCTCTTGAACAGATACACTCCCGCGAACCACCAAATAAATCCCAACTGATTGACTCCTTCATCATAACGTACACTAGTACATCGACACTACTTGATCCTTCTTTCATGTAAATTAGGTTTGGCAACTACGAGTTCTAGACGAATGAAGAAGTGTCGCAGTGCAACCAATATCACAGAGTATCCCAGCTTTTCTCGATTTTATTCGAATAAAACTTCATTCTCTATTCTTACTATATTTCCTAATAAAATTTGATTTCTCATTCTTACTCTGCTCTATAATAAAATCGAATTCTTCATTATTACTTTACTTTAGAATAAAATCTTTTTCTTGATTCAATTTAATAACAAAATTAAATGCTTCATTCTTACTTTACTAGATAATAAAATTTAACTGTTCTCTCTGTATTTTATAATAAAATTGAATTTTGCATTCTTCTTCTCTACAATCAAATTCAACTCTCTCTGCTCTACCCTGTTAACAAAACTGAATTTTTCTTTCTTCTCCCACTCTGTCTATTTCTCTATTTAGAAAATAATAAGATTTAACCGCTTATTTTCTCCGTACTTCACTTTCATCCACTCTACAATCAAATTCATTTCTCACTAAGCTCTACTCTGTCATTCGAAGAAACTCTGATCGAACGCCGATCCACCGAGAAGAAATTACTTACGTTTCAAAAGTAGAGCCAGGAGGACGAAGAGTATGTATCTCACGACACTGACCGCCATCTCCCGCACTCCCGTGGTTTGTGATATAACATCCAGACACGCGGTGGTGAAAAATCGGTAAAACTGCTGTTCCCGCCGGCTCGGGTGGCCGATCGCGAGTCGCTAAGTCACCGGGGAGGATACACGGACGAGCACCGGGGGGACTTTAGAAAGTGAACGAGCCGCGGCGGGATTCCTCGTCTCGTCGAGTTTTACACGCTGCGTGCACGTGTATGCACCACGCCGTGCGTTCGCCAAATAAGTGGAATTATCGTGTACGTACGCGCACGGTGTGCAACGTGCAACGTGCGACGTGCAACCGCGCACCGCCATCGGTGCGGCGGGTTGCATCTTTTGCTCGGGTTTCGCGCGGTGTGTCCGTTTCCGGGAAAGTGTCGCGTGCGATTACGTTCCTCCGATCGTTAATTATCCATTGGCCGTCCCGCGCAGTGGGACGAGCAGAGAGGCCGCGGATCGAATGAAATCCACCAAACGAGAAAGTTCCCAGCGGCGTACAACGTCGGGCGGAACAGGATTCGAGAGTTTAATCGTAGCCTGTCGATAGGAAACGGTGACGAAACGAGAGGGATCGTGTTATTATTGTTCTGGCGACTACGGCCGTACTTAATTCCTGGATTCCAGTGTTTGGGGAAAATGCTCGGGGAATCGCGGTCGGACGATGGCGGCAACCGGTAGAATTGTTGGAATTCGATTTTAACCCCTTGCCTTACGATTTATTTCGTAATACTAGAACTGCAGTTCAATTGATTTTCTGAAATTTTTTAACAATCTTTCTTCTTTATTGAGAATCATTGTAAACTGTAAATACAAAAAGATTACAAAGTTGTCATACTTTCAAAGATCTATTTCTTCCGTTCTATCCTCCATAGCTTGCCCTGTATCATAAAAATGTTTCACCGAAATGTGACAGTTGTAGTCTATATTGTCCCTTCTTTAGACTTTCTCCTATGTCTCATTACTCAATAATATAATACGTATTAAAGAAATCTGATTTAAGAAGTCAATAGGATCAATTTATTTATATATTTTATATCACTATACTATGAAGAATATACTCCTCAACGAATGTTATGTAACCCGCCAAATTGTAAAATAGTTAACCAAAAGTTTTAAATATTTTCAGTTATTGTGTTTTTCAGCTGCTCACTTGTTTAACACAATCTAAAGCATATAATGTTATTACGAAAATTTTCCACGCAGACAACTTAAATTTATTTGAATTAAATATTTCAATTATTTAAATATAATGAAATTAATCATTTTATTTGGCTGGCGTCTTCGCAGAGATTTTGTGGGAATTTGTATATGATGCAAAACGTAAGCATGAATTAGAGGCATCTGATTTACAAAACAAATTTTCAAGGTTAATCCGTACACGGAGAAAGTTGATACTATTTCTAGTAACGTGTGAAAAGACGTGCTGTAATTAAGTGATGATGAAACTCTCATAAATGAAGTACGTACACAGTTATGAGATCCTTAGTTTTTCTTTTCGTTCCTTCGCGTGGATAATGGTTTCCTGGGCGAGCAAATCAAGGTAAATGCCATACGTACCTGATTATTTTAAAGCCGCTTGTAAACTATTTTTTTGGAAACAGCTTTTCAATATTGTTCGACAGTTTCTGAAAAAATATTTACTTGATCGGTTTACCTTTTTAAGCATATTAGTAATAACAGGAATTATCTTAATAAAATTAATATTTCTATTTTTTCGGCTAATTAAAGTAAGAAAGTGATAAAAATCGTATTACATGTCTCACAAAATTCTTACTTTCGATAAATTCTGTTTTAAAAAGATGCTTCTAAATATAATTTACAAATGTATTAAAATATCCATTATTATCAACTAACGAAACATAAATAAAACAAGTGAAAAAAATAATTAGTTTCAACAAAAATTATAAGAAATCTTTCTTCTAACATTATATAATGTGGAAACGTATTAATATTAAAAACAGCTATTTTTAACTAGTATGTTTTGTAGAATCTTTCCATTTTATTTTTCTATCTTCGATTTTATTTAAACTATTACTTTTATCAAAATACTGCTTTGAATCAAATTCACTTAAACTGGTTTTCAACGTAATTTAGTGTACGATTACATTTATATAATGATTCAAAACAATCTTAGAGTATTTAGAATAAAGATAATAATCAAAAATACGAATGACATAATTTTCGACCTCAAAAGTTGAGACTGAAAAACATAAATCGAGAGCTGAAAGTAATACTTTGTAAATACTCTTCTTGCATCGAGTTCAACCATTGACCTGCGACTACCTTCACCCCCTGAAAGAAACATATGTGTTCTTGAAAAGATTGGCTTACAATTTATTGTCAATAATCAGTATTTTCCTTTTTTTTAATTACATAATACACTCAAAATTACAATATACATACATATTTTACATAATTATTGTTATAATAATTATTAACAAACCAGACCATACCGGCATGTAACAATGATTCTTTTCACTCTAACTTGCAGCTACTAATGTATATAGAGCAGGCCTGCTATTTATTAAACAGTCAAAATAGATTTCTTTAAATGCCCACCATGGGAATAGATTAATTATTTGCCATACCTAGCTCGGAGATCATTATGAAAATACACCTCGAGAGAATCATGAATCGGAAATTTGAAAGTAACGGTCAATACAATGCAGAGAGATTTTTTTCACTTGGCGATTGTAACTTTCTCGATTTTCTTTTAGCACCAGCGTACCAACCATTAATGCCCAATACGAATATTTTTTTGTGAAACTGATACACGAGACAATTGAATTCTACAATCTTGTCTAAGACAATCAAATAGGCATTAGGTGTCGACCATTAACGCATTACCGTCAACAAAGGAAAATGTGCGCATATATTACTTATTTGTCGAGTTCATAAAATTAATTTTACTGTTGTGTAAGTAGACACTAAAAATTAGTACTAAAACACTTAATTGGTAGGTTGACTTTTTATGATTAAAATCAAATTCCTTAAAAATTAATTTCGACGTTACTATGTGACGATAATTTTGGTGTCATTTGAGTAATAAATAAGTTATTTCGGAAGCTAATGTGATTAATTTTATCCACTATATTAAATTTCTCGTTTTATACCGATTGTAACAGATGAATAATAGATACATACATTTTTTGAATTTTAGTTTCATCAATAATAAGTTAGAAACAAGTATTTAGATCATTAATCATGAAAAACAGATAAACTTATAATTAATTTCATTATATTATATGTTGCTAGTAAAATTATAACGAAAACAGAGAAAAAAGACGATGGAGTCAGGTTAAATAACCTTTTCTTCCTACAGAAATGTTGGCTCCTTTTAGTTTTCGAAATACATATTCATAAAGAAAGCCACCGAATTCGGAGTGAAAGGATTTTTGACAATTATGACGTAAAATTGTGGACAGCGGCAGGGTTACCTCCTTCTTTGCACCCTATCTCTAGAGAAATCAGCACCACTATTACCCCTTTTTTCAATCTACATGAAACTTTCTTTTATAAATTTCCAGAAACTTTAAGAAAAATAAATAATTCTTAACACGTTCGCCACCGGCGTTTATTTCAGCGACGATATTCTTATCTGTGATATTCTATTAAATCCAACAAATCTTCTAAACAAAATATTGTGAAAATGGCACTAAAACGTTTTGTTGAGTTCCTAAATATAATACTGTATCTTATTACTTTAAATAACAGTATCTACAGAATGAATTTTATTTTTTTATATATATTATAGTACTGCGACCGTTACAGATATGTGACGTTGGTAGCGAACGTGGGAATGAAATATCTTAATGAAACAGGTTGTTGGAAAAATCATATATAGAAATAACATATAATCGTATATAATATCTGGTATATACAAATAGAGACATTCAGAACTTATTGAAATCAATGAAGTTTACCTTTTAAAAAGTATGAAATATATTTTTATAATACAGGAAGAAGTTTCTTTTCCAAATAATTACCGTTGTTTCTGTTAATTGTACATTCTTTACGTTTCATTTTAATTATTCCTTTATAAAACAATATTTTTTAAATTATTCTCTAGAAAAATTACTATTAGAATAGCAGTGTTCGTTATTACAATGTATCAAAAAATATTTCATTCGATAGATTGATAAATTTTTGTTTAGAAAAGAGTGACGCAAGAAGCCTGAAAATAATGAATACATTAGTAAGTTAATATTAATACTATAAAATTATGTTCAGTATTAGGTGCCATTTTTTTAAAATGCAAAATCATCTGGAAAGTAAAAAAACAATGAAACATAAATTACTGATAATTATCGATTGTTTTTTATTTTCTTTTAATATGTACATACAGGAACTAGTGTTAATTTTTGTTTGATGCTAACGAATAGTTTAAAGTTGTGTAAACATCTTAGTCACTTTGAAAGAGAAACCATAAGCGTTTAGAACTGTGTAAACTTCTTTTATGTATATTTACATAGAGTCTACCCGATGGTGACTTCAATTTCATGTCAAGACTATGTTAAAAAATTCTCTTGAAAAAAATAGGTTCAAAGTAAGAGCTTTTTCACTTTTGACTATTAATACCACAGAAAATGAAAAAACTATTTGATATGAAACGAAACGCTTCTTTCTCGCGTAATAAAACACAAACTTATCATGGTACTCCGAATTTTGTATAAGCAATACAAACTTCGATTTAATTTAATACACCAAGTTTAATAAATCGAATTTTCAACAAATTTATCATCAGATTTTCCAATCGGATCAAATCATCAGTGAAAAATACAGATATTAATGAAATATTTTTACTCGCACAAAATTCTGCAATCTATTTCTGATATTAGTCAATTTACAATTCACTAATATAAGCTTGTATTTCACTGTGCAAAAGATCTCCTCGAACAAATTTATGCAATTACATATAGGCAAAATTTCCAATGATTTACAGTGTCAAAAAACTATCGAAAATGAGCAAAAAAAAATAAGAATATTACGGAGGAATGTATTTT